GAACGAACGACGCAGGAGTTAATGAATGTCGTGAGCAGGAAAGGAAGGCCAGGACATGACGTGACGGCTGCGACGAGCTCCTTGGACGAGATATAGAGGATTGCGCCTGACGGGATGTTTTAATCGACCAGCGACCTCCGATTGCGGGACGAGGAGGACGGGACCAGCGACCTTCTGTGGTGGTGCGACTCACGGACCCGCTAGAGGGCTGGCAGACAGGGACGACGAGGTTCAGTGGCATGGCTATCAACTATCTGGCGATCGGACTCCTCCAACCAACACCCGCATGTCACTAGCTCAGAGGACATGACTCTCGGTCGGGAAATTTGCTCCCACTTCCTCTGAGAAGGTGTACGTCCCTGCATGCACGGAGCAGGTGCTCCAGGCCAATTTTACTCGGGGCTGGAGTCAGTGTCGACTCGGTCATGATCATGATCGGGTTCCAGCGTACGCGAGTTTCGGAAAGCTGAGAGCATGAAGGACCTTGTTGCTCCTCGCTGCGGGATACAGGACGATGGGGCATGCACGACGAGCTTTAAGGTTTTTGTTTCGAAGTCTGAAGACCAGGGGATTTATGCTCCCGGTGTGCAGTGACTACTTCTCGTGGATTTGAGTGAGGTCTTTGAAAATTCATCATCATTATCTGGCAAGAGCTGGAGAATTTAAGTCGAGCTACGCCAAGTCAATTTCGTCTGAACATTAGACGTGATTGGTTTCAATTTTGTTTGAGGATCCCGATCGTCGATCACCCTATTAATGTGCTCAAGGGCAAGCATTTGTGGGGCCTCGGTCAGCCTACTTTGCTTCTATTACATCCTCTCCCCGGGATAATTTCAAGCAGTGCACACCCGCAAATTATTCATGTCGAGGACGGGCGTGTACTGTTTGTCTCCTTTCTCGTTTTGGAAGGGAGATGAAAGGCAAACTACTATCGGAGTTGACATCCGAACACAGGCTAAGGAAGAGTGCCAAGCCTTAAGCCTGATGATGAGGAAATTTTTCCTTTCCTTATAATATTAACTTAGTCTGAGTCCACTTTTGGGCGACTTAGGAGAAAGAGCCTTTTCGTGAAGGAGCAAAATTGTCAGCTCTAGGAAGCATCCTAAAAGTGCATATTTCATCGGAAGCAGCAGCTGCATGGCTAGCACAGGCACATGCAGCTGATCGATGACAGACGGCTGCTGAAAGCCAACCTGACCCCATTCATCGTCACACGAAGGGATACTTGAACAGCTATAGAATCTGGAGGCAGGCAGGGTCCAGGTAACTGCAGGAAGCGACTGGCAGTCGAGTGCACAAGAGGGGTAAAACTCGATCTTCGAGGAACTTTTTGGGACCCGCATCGAATCCGATTCCCGATCACCATCAACACGGGCTGTGTACTCCGATGAAGCTGGGAAGCTATTTCAGACAGCGAATGAGGATGGCGAGCACGTAGTGCCCGGTCAATAAGAAGGGTTGGAATTCATTCCCAATTTTCAGCACTGTGCAAGTGCCTTACCATAGTGTGCACGACAATTTAGAGGCTATGAACGACTTTCAGCTAGATCAAGATTTCGGATTCTTGGATTCTCATTACCTCCAGTCCACAACAAAAGTCCAGCGAGCACCGATACATGGGAGCAACAACAACAATCTTAACAGCAGCAACTTCGAATGACAGGAGTCTCCTCCGTGTACCCCACTCCGACCAGCTCGAACTGCTCCAAAATCTCCACATTCCGGAATAAGTCCATCAACAAGCCGAGAAGGAAGGCGACGACGATGACTTCAACACCTGTTTTTATCCCGGACCTGCCAAGAGCGGCAAGCCCAAGTCTGAATTCTCTCATCTCCCCGCTGCAAAGCAGTTGAACCTCAACCATACTGGCCAGTGGTTCAGTAAAAGGAGGGCATTGGAGCAGCACCCGTTAGACATGGAGCTGGGAGATGTCCATAATGTCAGACGAGAAGCAACTCAGCGTGACGAGGAATGGTGTGTCGTCGACGACAAATTCACAGTCCGTGACTACGACGAGAGCTACTCGGAATCCCTTCGAGACATGACAATTCTGTCCAGTACGGCTCTAGCATCCTGCTTCGGCTACCCAGACATGTCTTTCCTGTTCACTTCCACCACCGATGGCGAGAGCGAGAGGGTTCATCATCGTCGTTCATTTAGCTGTCATAGTGTGGACTCTGCAGAAGATGTGAAGGTCCCCTCCTGGAACCAAAGAAATGCAGAGCCACCATCACTTCCCAGAAGAAAACCAGGAACGCTTGGCCAGCGCCACGGCCAAGTCCACTGATGTTTCGGGTATGATTGTAGACTTGGAATAGAAGCTCGTGATGACTCTAAGAGAAAAGTTCGACTCGCAGCCGCTTCCAGTTCGTCACATGATCAATCAGCTGGTTAAGAGCTGGGAAGACTCACGCACTTCAGAGTCGAGTCCGCCATGTTCGACTCGCTCGACGCCATGCTGCCCAGACTCAGCCCCGGGCGAGCCAAAGTGGAACAGCTTTGGCTGGCCATCAACATTCTTGCCTGCGAGGGACTAGACCGCCTCGAGAGACACGAGAGACTGCAGTAATGGAGGGTCCGCATACCTCAAGCCGGCTTCAGGTCGCTGCCCCTGTCAGGTCTAGCTGTTCTTCAGGCGAAAACCTTCCCCAGTATCGCATACGGGACTGGATTCACGGAGCTAGAAACTAGAGGGTCCCTGGAATTTAGCTGGCACGATAGGCCCCTCGTCTGGTGTTCCATGTGGACCTGCTAGCTAAAGGCCATCCCTCGGTCTCTTTGCCGCTTCCTGACGAAGTACTAGATCGGTTCGCCCTCTTCTGAGCTTTCTTTCGTAGGGTGGGGGCACTCCTGTCTCCTACGACTTACGCCGTGTCCTCACTGTTCTCTTGGTGCCGAAATGAGAGGCCGATCCACTCGCTGCCCCCAGTGAACAGATTGGTATCCGTCGACCAGTCAATCGATCCTGTGACCTCTTCTGTTGATCGTTGAAACGAGGACGAGGACGAGGACACCATGACCGCGAAAGCAGCTGCAGCCAATTGCAGGGATGCAGAGACAACAGAGGACGAGGATGCACTGTATTTACCTCGGATGTCAACCGCCACCACTCGAGATGAGGAATGGGGAAGTAGGGCCCAGTGCAAGGTAGACTCAACTACACAGTAATTCCGAGTCAACGGGAATGAAATTGACTTGTGACTCTGGAGAAAATGTTTACTGTAATCAACGAAACCTCCATCACAATGGGGTCGAGTATTCTTCACGATCCTGACAAGCACTGTTCCGCTACGCCTCCTTCTCCAGGCCGCGATGATCCATGAAATCTCTCCCGATTCAAGGTCCGACGTGCTGCCTGGCTGACTATGTAGCAGGCGGGTAAACATATTTTTACGATGCCTCCACAGTGCATGAGACATGATGCTGCGTCTGAACGTCACAGCCTTACTTCACGGCCAGTTAGAACCATCGGACAGCACTGGATGCGGACGAACATTCGGCCTGACAACCGGTTTCCAAATGTTTGGCACATGCATTGCGATGCATCTCATTAAAATATGTGATGGATAGGGAATGGGGTCGATGGAGGGCAAGGGACACGGTACTGCTGCGGCCGCTGCTCTCGTGTCCTGATAAGCAGTGTGTGAGCAGGGCCATTAGAAAAACATATGAATGTGGATTCCTAAGATGTGGGGCTAAGCGTATCGACCTCGAGCATCAAAAGCAAGGAGTGAAAGACGTCAAACAAGCCAGCAGCAATTTCGCATTATTTAGAGGGAGGATTCTCAGGTACATGCACTTCAGCACAGTAGCTTAGAACACTGCACTCTGCAGACTCCGAGTGCAGTGATCTCAACTCCTACACAGAACCCCGCTTGAAACCCGTCTGTAAAAAGATTCTCCACTGCTTTCGAACTTGCAGCAATGAGTGTCTCCTACGTTCTGGCAATGGTGAACGAGCTGATACCGAATCCATTCATAATTCTGAGTATGACCATCCTCTTATTGCCCCATGACTTTGCTCGTCGTTGATGCTCAGTCGTTCACGTTCATGTACAGCGAGTTGCAAGCGTTGGATCATTATGGTCGCGGAGGGTAACCAAACAAGCCAGAGAGAATTATTTTTTATCGTCAGCAGTCTTACCAAACCTGGAAATTCCTCTCCTGTTCCGCCACCACGAAATACAACGATCGGACTCACTCACCAGGCTCTGTCCACAATTCGAAGAAAGGTCAGACACAACAAAACAGTCCCCGCACCTTCTTCCATGCAGCCCCATGGGCGATGATGATTCTTCTATGATGCCTATTCAACCCTTCTATGATGCCTAGATAACAAACCCCTCTGGCATGAACGAAGCCCATTGGCTCTGCCCATCTTCGGGCCGACGAGGGAGGCCGCCAGCGTTCCCACTCCCCCCTCCCAGGGAACGCAGTCCCCAAAAGTTTCCACGTGGACGGCGGGCGCCGGGGGTGAAAACGAGGCCCTGCAATTATCCCCCGCCTCGGCGACCGGTCGGAATGTGCGACGACCGCAGGGCTATTTGTATTTGGTACCGTACTCTGTCTGTGTATAGTATTACATCGAGTATATTACCCTTCGTACAGTACGTCTCAATCATACGCGCACGAGAAATCACCATAATCGAGTAAGTCGGCCCTCGGAGGACTCTCGCACTACGACGACGACAGTTCGTGGTCAACCACCGCCGCTGCGCTGAGGAGTCACAACAATCTGAGACCGACTTCGCTGCCTTCGGGGTGGGGCCGTCGTCGGCTTCGGTCTCTCGTGCTTTTCATTGCAGCGCATGATATGATTATGATTCCAATAGAATGAATGAGGATCCGCAGCCACTGCGACATTCTGTGCTGCCCACCTGGACGCAGATCGTCGGACCTGCATCGGTCCCGTTCGGAAAGACCACGTCCGGGTCTAGGCTGCTGGGGAGGGTGGGGGCCTAGGCGCGAAAAGCAGAAGCAGGAGCAGCTTTAGGAGGGCCGACGACTGCTGGTGAACTTCTATGCATGCTCCGGCGAACGAGTGCTGCGTTCTGAGCGGCCGAGCGAAAGCGACAGAGAGAGAGAGAGAGATCGGGGACGAAGACTTGCTTGGAAGACGAACAGAGGAGGAGCTGGTGGCCTCTCCTCTGCCGTCATAATATTTTTTTTGCTCTTTGGATGATATGTTACAGATGTAGAGTACACGTTTGTACACCGAGTTTCCATCTAGCTTCGACACTTCGCTGCTGCTACCTACTCTGATCTCAAACCTAGGAACACGTTCCTACGAGGAATTTCGAATGTTTTTTCGGTTTTTTCCTTCTGAACGAGGGAATTGGGGGTGGGGTGGAACAATGACATTTACAGGTGGAGGTGGAGGGATGTATGTACTGCAAAATCGTCGAAGAATTGTCGATGAAAGTGATGCAAGAAGGAAATGCAGGGGTGGGGATTTGACAGACGCTCGAGAGACTAGCATGGGTAATGGAATCCCATGTAGGCCCCTCCCTCGTATTGTTGCCACACGTCCCAGCCGCCGAAGCCGCACATGAGCACGGCGCTGACGCCCATTACAGAGGCCACTGAGAAGACGATGAGCGAGGCGCGATTGTACTTGTCGATGAGCTTGTGGACGATGGTGATGCCGAACCAGGAGAAAATGGCACACAGAACGCCGGCGATGACCGCGTAGTGGATGGGAATGCGGCCCATGAGCCAGTACTGCAGCACGGACATGGAGGACGAGAAGAAGACCATGGAGGCGCACGTCGCGGCCGTCACCTGGGGGAGCATGCCCACGGTGAAGAGCAGAGGGTTGATGATCATGCCGCCCCCGATGCCCAGCATCCCCCCGAGCACTCCCGCCACCAGAGCCATGGACGGGAACAACACCGCGGCCTCCGGCCCCAGCACGTACCCGACCTCGTGAATGTCACCGCTCTTGCGCTCGTTGCTCTTCGGGGTGCCGTGCGTGGCGTGGCGCAGCTGCGAGATGGTCCACGCCGTGATGATCAGAGCCAGAGGCAGCTGCGAGGCGGTGATGAGCCAGTACCCGAGCCCGCATTGCTCGAAGCCCAGAATGCTCTGCCCGCCCTTGCCTCCGCGAAGCACTTGCACCGAGAAGAATGCCAGCCAGACGAAAATGAGCGCGAGAATCTTGTTCCACGGGAAAAGCCTCAATTTCGGCCTGGCCTCCTCCCCAGCCCCGGCCTCGGCCTCGAGCAGAGGTTTCGTGAGCGAGTCCGAGTGCGCGCCCTCGTCCTTGCCGGCTCGGAAGCCCAGCTTGGGCGCGGCCTCGTCCTCGATGCTGGTGGTGGACGAGGAGATGGCGACGGGGGGCGCTTCGAGGGCCCTGCGGCGCGCGAGGTTCTGCTGCGTCTCGCGCTTCCAGCGCTTGGCGCCGCCGCTGAAGGAGTGCACGGTCATGTAGCCCAGCACCACGGCCAGCGACGCAGTAATGAGCCAGGCCGGGAAGACGACGTTGAGGATCACGCCCACGCTGATTCCCAGCAGCATGTTGGGCTGCATCAGCAGCAGCACGTCGAAGTCGATGACGGGCTTGTGCTTGTGCACCGGGTGGTGCTGCTGCAGATTGATAAATAGATTCACGATGCTGCCGCCGAGGATCATGAAATTCGACAGCGCGGCCGAGGTTTTGGGGTCGAATTGCAGCATGAGGTTGAACAGCGGCACGAACAGCCCGCCGCCGCCCAGCCCTCCGGCGCTCGACAGCCCCGCTCCGATCCCCCCGAAGATGATCCCCAGAATCGTCCGCACCTGCGTCAGCTTCAGCACCGGCCAATGCTGCTCCTCCTCAGCCAATTGGAAGATTCGATCCGATAGCCTCTTCAATCCCGGCAGCCACGACTTCGATTCACCACGATTCACCTCCTCCGTGCCTGTGGCGCCGCTGCTCTCGTCTTCGCTCCACTCTCTCTCCCTCGGGCTCCAGCCTCCGGCCGCCCCCTCCTTCCTCGACGAAGAATGCGATGCCGCCGACGCCATGTGCGCCAGAACGAGCACCGCCGCGCACGACAGCAGCATCCATCTCGAGACTCTCGGCCGTGCCACGACCATCGTTCCGGCCGTCGTCATGACTGACCACGAGCGCAATTCCCCCCTTCCTTCCTTCCTTCGACGATCCCAACGGGAATTCGACCACCGTGAGCAAGGAAGGAACGAGGGAAGTCGGCGCAACCCAAGAATCCCCGCAACAACCTCTCTGCCCTCTCGCGGACCAGCAGCGGCAGAGGAGCTCGGAGCTCGACCTCGATTTCGCACGTTCAAATCGTCGACTCCTTGCCTCTCATTCGCTCCGTCGGACTCCAAATTTCCGCTCTCGAAGCTCTCGTCAGATTCGCCGTTCGGTTCTCTACCTCCTCTTCTTCTTCTTCTTCTTCTTTCTTCGTCTTTTCTTCTTCTTCTTGCTCGACGAGTCCCGATGACGGAGGGCAAATGAGGAAACGAGGAAATGTCTTCGAATAGAATAGAATTGGATTTTCTGCTGCGTCTTGCTCCGCGGTGGTTGGGACTTGTTGCGCCTGCGGTCTGTGAGGAAGCAAGCGTGGCCACGCTTTATAAGCCCGCTCGTCGAATGGAGTCAGGCCAGCATAAAATGCTCGGACCCGAGGGCCCCGAGATCCAGGCAAGTGTGAATCCGGTTTCAGCGTCCGGGTCCAGGTCGACGATCCACGACGGACGGAATAAAGAAAGCCAAATCCAATTGCGCCAACGAATCCTCGCGCAGCCCGATCGCTCTCTGTCCCTGTCTCTCCCTCTCTCTCTCTCTCTCTCTGTGACTGCCGATGTCCGAGTCCCGCCGCTCCCTTTTACGGTGTCCCTCCGCGGGACCGACCCGTCTCGCGTCGACGCGAGCTCCGCGAGGCGGGAACGACAAGGACGGTCCCGCGCACTGTGTGAGCACCGGTCCCGCACCGGAGGGACGCCTCGACAGCGGTTTGTGAGCCGTCGTCGGGAGTGGAGGGTCGGTGGCCAATGGGAGGACGGTGCAACCGCGCCGGTTCCTGACGTCGTGACGTGGGTAGCGTGGTGCGGGATGTGGTTGCTCGCGGGACGAGTCCGCGACGCTCTTCTCGCGACCCCGCGCGCCGGGAGGTCGTGGTGCCCGACTGTTCCTATTCCGAACAAGTTGTGTACTCCAGTGGCCATCGCCAGTGGCGTTCCTGCTGCGAATACGGTTGCCTGTACATCGTACATCTCTGTTGAATGTATCGGTACGCATTCCCGACGGGTTCCGCATGCCAACGAGGCGTGCCACGTGGTTCAGCATCTGGGAGGCCAAGTTTGACAACCTCGGCAACTTGGCCGTAGTTCGCTGCCAAGTACTCCTGGACTGTGACTCTGACCAGATTTTCCCAGCATCTTGCAACAGGACGTGTGTGATAAATCTCAAAAGCCTTCCCCTGCATGCTCATTATTACTTCCGAGTCGAAGCTCGAAAGCTCGAATGCCCCCGCATTTCCAGCTCAAGAAAACCCGGTAAATCATGAATAAAGCATGTTTCGTCTCTAATAATGTACGGGATGTACACACGATTTTCCCGGTACATTCTGCTGCCATCTCACCACCGTGGGATCACCTCAGCACAACTTTATCCAGAAGATGTTGGCGAATCAGTCCACGCGCGGATGAATGAGACCATTCTCTCCGGAACTGTTTGATGCGAGTGGCTTTCACCACTACCTCTCGTGTCTGGGAGAACCATGATCACAATAAGATGATGATTACTGGTACCCGCAGAAGCATATTTGGTTAATTGTTTTAAAGCATTGTTATTTGTTAAGGTTTTTCAATTTTTCAACAAAATCTACAGAAGTAACTATTATTTCAAAAATACGGGGTGATTGAATATTATAATTTTCATGTAAATAATCTTCCATAGACTAGAAACAATCGAGGTTCCATTATTCTTGAAGGATAATTCTGAAGGAACCTACTGTAAACATCAAAAACTGATTTTTTATTAGTCTTATTATCTAAAAAATCACCTTAACATTTTCCAATACATGTACCGTATAAAAATTACAATATCTAACAGCTTATAACACTATTACATGATAAACCTGGGAAACACAACCCTTTTGTTAAAATCAGGAAAAATTGTAATCGATAATTAAAAATCAAGAATCTTTAGCTATATACATATTAGAAATTAATATTTTTTAACCATTACCAATAACATGTTTTTATTTCTGTATATCTGAAGGTGACCACACAAAGTTTTACTTAAACAGCGAAAATTGTGTGAAATATAATTTGAACAAACAATTTACCGGGAAAAGACATGAGCACTTACAACTTCAAAAAGTAGCTGTCAATGAGAATTTGAACCTCTAAAACTCCGACTTCCTTGAAACAGTCTTAAAATTCCAACTTTCTTTCAAGTTCGAGTATTTGCTGATCCAGAATCATGCTCGCGGAGCGAATGTCTTTCAGCAGCAGCCGCCTTCTTCAGATTTTGAGATTTATGGTCTGCGGCGGAACGAAGCTGCTGTCAAATGATATCGTCGTTCCAAGTCGTAGCTTGAGGAGGGTGATATTGCGCAACAACCAGGATTTGTTTTCAATGAGCTCCACAATCGTGTGACAAATTCGACCACCATACTTTTGCGTGTTGTCCAGGTGCGTGACCAGGTAGGCAGATGCTCATTTGACTATATTTTTAGGCTCTTAGATGTTATAAGTCCGGTGTAAGCTCGGTTTCCATGTCCTGCGGATTTGGTTCAAGCACTGCAAGTGGTTTCTGCATGAATGAGAAGCAGTCACGCTGGTTTCGCCTATGTTTGTTTGTCGCGAGAAAGTTGTCGACTTCTTGTTTTCGACCACAAACTTCGCATCGTAGAAGGAGTGCTCCATCAGCTCGCTATGAAACCTCATGAATCTCACACCACTCCTTTCAGTTAGGTCCATGGTGTCGATGTTCTTTGTCACGTGCAGTGGGAAGTGACATGTTTGTCTGGGTTCACTTGCACTTGTTAGGGATGGCGGAGATTATGTTGAGTTATTTGTGTCTTATGTGAAGGAACTATATGCAAGGAAGAGATAGACAGGTCATTCTTCAAAGCTCTGACGTGCACTTTCAAAGTCAGTTGCGTTTGACGAAATTCTTAAGAACATGGAGTCGAAATTGTCTCCATAAAATCCTTTTTATCCTCACTTCAGATTTATATTCTTGTGTAACGCAGAACCAAGTTCTTGTAAATGGAGTTCAACCTTCAACGATATACAACTGCCTCTCCAAGATATGTGATCCATGGTAATACGAAATGATTATCCGATTAGTTTCAACGCAGCTTCATGAAGTGTACTTGAGGGTTTTTGTCTTGTTTTGGAATGAAGACTTGTATCTATATGTCATATTATATCTATATTAGAAATCAGTCTAGAATATATATATATATGTATATATATATATATGGATTGAGCAACCCGCATACATAGAGTTTCGTTTAGGGCACCTCATTCTGGTCTTTTATGGCTATGTCAACAAGATGAAAAATATATTTTTTGCAATATTTCATACTTTTGCACGTAGCAAGTGCTTACAAGAGTTCTTTGATATTTATGATTCACATACGCTTCTTTAGATATAAACATAATTTATTGTAAATAACATATCCTCATCAAAATCGTTGGAAGTTTGATTGGTTTTTTATTGAATTTCATTTATTTTTATTGAAAGTTTTGTTTTATTTTGTTAACATATACATTTTTTTATTAAATAAATTATGGTTATTTAATACATTTGACATCTCAATATATGATAAATTTTATCTTAATATCAAATAAGAAATAAATTATTCTATATGTATTCACACAAATATATAATTATTTATTTTCTAAAACATGTATTTCTTGTTTTAATCATGTTTTTTTATATGTATTGTAAAACACATTTATCTGGTAGGAAAGTGAACATATTAGTATCACAATATCTATATTCATTTTGTTAACCATATTATCCATGTGGATAAATAGTTTCATTCTTAAAAAAATTGATTCGTTATAATGTATCATATTGTTGAGGTTAACTCCGGTCAAGGAGAAACCTCAGGCTCTAGCTATTTATAGTTATGTGTGTCGCTGGCTTTGGGTATAAATATACCCCCAAAGCCAAGGCTCCTTTGAGGAGCTAAAGTATTGTATATTCACTTGTCAGTAAACCTGCTCAGTGTTCCAGCCGTGGACGTAGCCCTCAAGGGTGAACCACGTTATATGAGTGTCTTGTGTCTTCGTACTTGGCTTGAATGATTCTTCGTTTTACGTTAACAAATGGTATCAGAGCCGGTTTTAGCTTCGGATATATAGTGAGTTTGTGTGCTGAAGGTTTTCTTAGTGACAGTTTTCAGCTGACGGTTTTCTTAGTGACAGCTCTCAGCTGACGGTTTTCTCACAAACAGTTTGTGTGCTAAAGGTTTTCTTTGTAACAGTTTCAGCTGACGGTTTTCTCACTGACAATTTGGATGACAGTTTACTTAGTGATAGGTTATACTTTAGTGATGGTTTTTTGAGATGATTTTGAGTTTCTAATGTTCCTGATATTTTATGACGGTTGTGAAGTTTCTTCGAGTTTGAAGTTTTCTTGAAGTTTACCCTTTCTCGAAGTTTTCTTGTTAGATTCAGAAGTTTTCAGTTTCGTTTTCTTGAAGTTTCAATAACGTTTTCTCGAAGTTTTCTCGAAGTTTCAGTTTTGTTTTCAGTATTCAGATTAGGGTTCCCTTAAGGAACAACAAGCGGCCGCCACCCCTGTGACTAGGGTTTCGTCAGGCCGTCCCCACCCCCTATGCACGAAGTTTTCTCGAAGTTTCAGTTTCAAAAGTTTTTAGTTTCGTTTTCTCGAAGTTTTTTTGAAGTTTTAGTTTCGTTTTCTCGAAGTTTTCTCGAAGTTTCAATTTCATTTTCTCGAAGTTTTTTCGAAGTTTCAGTTTCGTTTTCAGCATTCAGATTAGGGTTCCCTTAAGGGACAACCAGCGGCCGCCACCCCTGTGACTAGGGTTTCCGTCAGGCCGTCCCCACCCCTTACGCACCTGCGCACATTCTTCACGAGCGGCACGAGCACCGTCCTGCGCGGACATAGCAAGGCCGAACTGCGCGGGCAACATCCTGTGTGAACAGGGAACTTCGCGAGCGGCGCGGGTCACCTTCTGCGCGGCGGGGGTCGGCACTTCCCGAGCGGCACGTCGCGGATGGGAGCCGGGCGGCGCGGGTAAACACTTCGCGAGCGGCGCGCGCGGGCACGTCGCCAATGGGAGCCGGGCAGCGCGGGTCATCATCTTTGCGAGAACACGCTCCAGGAATGACTCGAACCCACGACCTCCTACTTGCGAGCGCGAAGCACCAACCATTGAGCTACTGCTGTGGACGTGATAAAAGGTACTTCCATTCCTATAAGATTTGCGAGGCAGAAGGAATAGACTGTGCAGAGTTCCCTACGTAGTTGTAATTGGACGTGGTCAGCATCCTATTGAACGTAGTAGACGGCCACACGGTTAGAGTTATGCACCTTCGTAGTTGGACGTGGTCAGGGTCAGTTTGAGGTTGGATGTGGTTGAAATTGAAATATGTCACTGTGAACATGGTCAGTTGTGGACGTAGTTAGCAACAACCAAAAAATAAAAAATTTAGTTTGGAGTTTAGGGTACGTCATCACGTGGTCGATACATACGAGGTTAAAGCGCCAGCACTCGTTGTCGCGGGTGACGGATATAGTCGCGGGTGACGGATCTTTTCAGTCGCGGGCGACGTTAGTCGCGGGTGACAGACGTAAAGTGCAT